AATTCTAAGCCATCTTTTTGTCTGCTCATTCGGTCATAGCGAAATCTCCCTCTCCGTGGACGTAGACGAATCGATTCAATGTCGAACCACATAAATCTTCTATGTTTGTTTTTGGATGTGTGAATTCCTACACTTCCGTATTGTTTTCGCAAAACAATTTAAATAATTTATTTTATCTATTTCTTTTCCAATCAATTAACCAAAAATCCTTAAATTAATCTAAAAAAAATCAAGAAACAAGTAAAGTGTTAAAATAGTCCTCAACTATTTATATATAATCATTTTAACCCGGAGTTTATAAAATTTTAAACATGCAGAATCATTAGAACCCCAAATTGATAAACTTGAAAATTAATTTGACAATTTTATAAAATTTTGGACTAAAATGTAAAATGTAAATAGAGTGACACTGTTTTCAACGAAACAACCTGGTGGTCCCGCCGGAGAATGAGACGGCGCTTCAACTGATGGACAAACGGCTAAACAGTCGGATCTCTGCAATTGAGGAGGACCTCGTGCGCCGTGATGACGGCTTTGATGTGCTCGAGATTGATGACGACGGCTCCCTCACGGCCGAGCACCGTGGAGGGATACGACAGCTGGGGATCCAATATCCGGAGATCCCTCGCCGGAATCCCCGTGCGCCTCATGATCGCCTGCTTTCCAGCCTCCACCATTCGCGCTCCTCCGGCGGAATTAAAAATTTTGAACTTATTTGAGCTGGAAAGGATTCAAATAACTCAAGAGAAGCAGTGAAACAGAGGAAGCCGAAGAGGGCTTCGCCGACTTCGGAATGCTCGCCATCGAAGAGGAAGGGTTGCTCCACGCCCATATCTTCCCAGTTGAAGCAGAAGCTTTGCTGATCCATTGGGGAAGCTGATCTGTAAGATGAAACTGTCAAGTGCGGTATAATGGCTGCGGTCATTGGTCTGAGAATTTAACTAACGGCGGTTAAAACAGAAGCAGTGAAACAGTTGCAGCTGATGACTGGAAATTCGGCGGTAAAATAGTGTGTGATTTGTTATGTTCTAACTGTATTTGTATTTATGTTTGAAAGAGCATTGCAATATCAGAAAAAATGCTGCCCTTAATACTTTTGGGAATTATTTCATAAATTCAAATCTCTGTTGGGATACTAATTAAATAATTAATTATGACTTTAAAATTCATTATGACTTTAATATTAAATTGCGAAGACCGCTTGATTAATTCTTCGGTAAATTAGATTTCTAGACGCTCTTGGTATATTTATAAGTATTTACAATTGTTAGGTAAATTTTCATAGTTATATTTGTAATATTCAAAATTTTAATATTGTATTAAAAAAGATCATCATTGTTAGCATTTCAAAAGTTAGATGTATTTTTCTTCACGCACGCATTCTGTATACTAATTAAAATATAACATAAATATCAAATTTTAGATGGTAGATGTAAATTCTTAGATATTATGAACAGTTAAAATTTCATGAATACCACACAATTTTCTGTATTTACATATCTAACACCCATACTTTTATATTTATAAGCATAATATTAAGATCTTTGGAGCACTTAAAGAATGTCACTATTATTTAGTTTTTTAAAAGAAAATTACAATTTTGGCACATAAATTGATGAAATCAAAATATTGCAAATATAAATATGAAAGTTCCAAGTGCTAGATTTGTAAATATATAAAAGTTATGTGACTTCTTTGTAAATTATAACAAAAACAGGTTTTCACAGGTCAGCCAAATAAGTCCAAATTCCTTACCGAATAATTTGCCTTCCTAAGAGAGCCCAAAACGTGCATGGTGACACATGAATTTAAATTATTATGTACTTTCTTATCTAAAACGTAAATTTAAATTATTATATTTATCACCTAAATCTTTCATGTCACATAAAAAATACCCTCAATACATTTTTTCATGCAATAGAGAAGGGGGCATCCCTGCAAATACCAATATTTTTATACATCATTTAAAGGTTAGTTTTGTAAAGAACAATATTTGTAGTGTTGTTTATGTTATTATCCCATATAAACAGAGAGAGAGAGATGCAAAAGTGGCGTATTTAACTAAAATGCCTTGAAAAAATTGCACAAATCAGTGCTTCAATTACATCATCATTGAAAATGAAGAAAATAAATTACATGATTACTTTCGAAGCCTCTTCTTTGCTCTTTCATTCTCATGCGATTCCTTCGGCTGATCACAAATCTCTGTAATTCGTATTTGTCGTCGCTTCTTCTTATTTTCTATTCGTTGATATCCTTCATAAAGCTTTCTCTTCAGAAACTCCATCTTTGACGTTTCTGAAGCTTCCCCACACCGCTTTCTCTCCACAATCGCGGATAAATGACTGCTCTGTTTCTGTTGGGAAGTCAGCTTCGGCAAGCTGCCATGTCGAGAATCATTCCTAGATGATTTGATGATAGACGGCTCGGTCAAAATGTAGAGCCTCTGAAGAATCAGATCCTTCTTAACCATAAACTCCTTGGGCTGATCTACAGCCGCTACCATGATGGCTTTGCCGATCAGCTCAAAAAGATCAGATTTTGCGCTGCTGAAAAACTTCCGCCAATAATCCAAAGACTCTTTCACGTTTGCCATTGCCATTGTCATTGCCACAAAGAAAAGAAAAGATCACTTTTTTTCTACAGAGGATTTGTTCTCACAGATTCACTGATTGGAAACTGATGAAATAGAACAGAATAACGCTATCATAATGTCATCCGTTTTATAATAATATACATTCAATAAATATTAAAAAAATTGATTAAAATGTATTTGAATTATATTCATAATTTAATCAACATTCACAAAGATACCTGCCTTAAATATAATTTAAATTTAATAAATTTTATATTGTTATGATCCAAAACCAGTGTTGCATAAAATTAATTTTTCATTCTTTGATTGCACACTAAGATACTATATGATATTGATACAGGGCTCCTAAAAAGTATAAGAAAATATAAAAAGGCATTAGAAATTTGTAGAATAGCAGGGCAATGAAAATATAAGAGTTTAACAGGGATAGACATAGGTCAACACTATAGCAGGGTCACGAGACCCCTCCCCTCCCCACTCTAGTTTCGCAATCGAGATTATGTGAAGAAAAAAGGCTCTTGTGTTAGAGAATCAATCCGTTTACACAATATGTTTGCAAACATACACAATTGGTCAGCAACCTCTGTGGCTTGGGAGGACATCTAGACCCAATTGCATAGAGTTTGAGACTCTTCTGGCTGTATCAAGACAACTCAATAGGCGAAGTAAAATTGACCTTCAAAGTGTGGGGGCCTGGGCTCCACCCTAAACACTCGAGCAACACTCCCATATATAGAGTAACAAAATAGGATGATAAAAATTAATTTGAGTATTAAATTAGGTAGATAAGTATTATTGAGTAACGTTTCTCTTATGTTAACAGGCGCAAGAGCTTGGACAAAGAACCCACTATCGCTAAGCTATATGCTTGTATGCACCTGCATTAGTAAGATCATTGTTGTGTCGATGTCAGACCATATAGAACACCTCAAAGTTAAATATTAATTTTATCACTATAATTATTCTAAAATTTAATTATGTTTATGTATCTATCTATCCTTCACAATTTTTTGTGGGATGACTACCAACAGTTGAAAGAGGTTCAAAGTAAGTGACCAGGAGGAGTTTGCTATCTCTAGTAACAATATTGATCAACCAGATATTGATTTCTAGAGAGAAGTTGTTGGGGGCAAGAAGAAAAGAATGATACGTAGGTTGGGTTTAGAGGAACTCATATATGATGCATGCCACTAATTTTATAGTGAGATCTTCACATCCATCAACGCTGAAGGTTGTAGGCAGTCGCAACAATCACTCAAGATATAATTGACTGATTTGTCTCTCGTGAGATGGAGGCAAGAATGAGGCGAAGCTTGGAGGAGATGCGACGAGACATATGTCGGCAAGGGAAGCAGTCGATGAAGGTGGTCGAGGAGGAGGAAGAATAAGTTGAGGATGAGGAGATTAGTAATTAGTAATTGTGTGAATCGATTTTTTTATTACTAGTGTAATCTCTCTTGGAGAACCTTTTATTTCTGAGACACGTGCACTGGATATTTCCTTTACTATTTTTTTATTATTTCTTTTATTGCATTTTTTTTTAATATATGATTCAAAATCATGTGTTTACTTATATTAAATTTTATGATAGATATTTCATTTACTGTTGTATTGTGATTGCATGTGTATAAATTTGAATGGGCTTAGGAAGTTTTCTTTTTGAGCATTTTCTGACGGCCTTTCGATCGACCTGTTAGGTTACTATGATAATACTGATGGGCATGTCTGTCAGTTTCTTAATATATTATGAATAGACATGTGTTGAACTGATACTCATGTATCTTAGATAAATCATTGCAATTTTTTTTACTTATCGATCATCGTAAACAAGTTTTCGATTGACATTTGACCACCATAATGTTTTTGCGACAAAAAAAAATAGTGGCAGTGCTCACTCCATCGAAAGTCGTCGCTAAAATCAATAAGTGATGACAATTTTCATTTAATTGATAAAATTTTTCGTCACTTTCCTCATATTCTTATGCAATGAAATTTGTATACTACTTAATCGATACGTGCATTTACGTGAAACGTATATATTGTTGCATAATAGATCATTTACTCAAATTCTCTTTTTTAAGGGTTGTTTATTATGGACTTCAATCTTTTTCGCCTTTCTATTAATTACATTGTCTATCACATTTGATTAGTTATGAAAAATAAGAAATTTGGCAACTTGCATGCTAGTGTCAATATTATTGCTATCAAAATGAGAATTTAAACTTTAAATAACAAAGTTGGTGTCAAGAAACATTATATATCATTTAAGTTTTTTTTTTTTTTAATTTGTAAACACCATGGACATGTTTATTAACTTGAAAGATAAGGAGGCGATCTCTTAGATTGAGCTCAAGTCAAACTTGCTAAATTGATTCAAGAACGGAGCTTGGTAAGTCATGCTCAAAATTGACCCCAGCTCGGTCCTATGCGGATCCTAAGTGGACTAATTAGTTATGTCCGAGACGTACTCGCCAAACGAATGAAGAAGGTGGCATCCACTTAAGCTCATAAGAGACTAGTTCATTGTCATCTCTAGACTCATCCAAATTGTTTACTTAGGGTTGCAACCATACAGACCAACCCAATGACTCTTTCATGCCCGATGGCAAACTACCAGCCAAATTTGAGAATAAATTTGGGCTTTTATATCACTTCTATTTCCTTGTACTTCTGTTTTGTAAGCATAGCTTATAAGTATTCCTTAACAAATCTAGGCTATTTCTTTTAATTTTTCTGCCCTTAAAAATACTATTTTTATTTTTTACAGCAAATTCACAAACACAGTATCAGTCGAAACACAGAAGCATGCATCAGTCAAGGAGCCCCTTGTGCTTGCACCATGAAACTGCAACCACATATAGCAGCAAGCTCCCAGCGGCGCCGCCGCCCACAGTCCACACGAACTCTGCGGTGCCAGCCTTGTTCTCGTCAAACAAATCGACCTTGATGTTCATGCCGAAAATAGCAACCAGAACGACAAAGGCGCTTACGATCAATGTGGCTGTCATCAGAACCACTCCCATCTGCAACAGATGGTTTTGCTTATCATCAAGCATTATGTTTATGTAGTCCTCCGTATCGTCCACATATTCCCTCAGCTACAAAGTTAGAAGATAAATAAATTGCAATGGATTATTCTATTTCTGTCTACCTAATAGAAATTAACCATTATGTTGATTTGTTTATGTAGGATTTCTTTTGCTTTCAGCGTGTGTGTGTGCAGGAATAGGTCCAAATGCACTTACTGTGGACAGCTTGTTCAAAGTGCTATCGATCTGTACAAAATAAGCTTCCAAGAGCATCTCTAGCTCTTCCACATCGGGATGTTTGCCGCTGCTTCTCGTGCTGAAGGTATGACTTTCATGTCCATCCCCAAAGACATTGTTGGAAGCAGATATTACATGGTGGCTGTGATTTTCGATGTTCTCATCAGATGAAATTTCAGCAG